TACCCCTGAGCCCCTGAAACATCAAGCGCCACCCAGATACCGCCTCCAGAGGGAAGCGCCACCCTGAAACAGGCCTTTGAGGCCAAGCACCACTCAAAGGATGAAGAAGAAGACCAGCGCCACAGTATCTGATGATGACGAAGTGTCAAATGACTTCCCGGGTGGAAGTCTGCAGCAGCGCCACCTCTCCTGACAAGATGATCTCCGAGGAAGAAGCTGCAGCTATGGCTGCAGCACCACACATCCTGTAACCCTACCCCGGAGGAGTGTCCAGCAGGGTACCAACTTCTCTCGCCTCCAGCGGACCTCGAATAGCCCGGACCTTTGTACAGCCCCGCGTGTTGACAAAGTACAGCGCAGGTCCCAGCTATGGGCGGCTCTCCGAAGGTCTGGCTAGGTCTGTCTCCCTCAACGCTGAGCCGCCACCACTTCCAGTTCATGCGTTGCACAGCAGCGATGTACACGGTACCAACCGCCAAAAGCCCTGAACCGATGTCTACATCCTATCTATAACCTACCCTAGCCTAGACTCGACCTAGACCGGTCTGACTGGATGACCAGTACCGTACCAGTTTCGGCCTCTCGGCCTCTACCTTACCCGGATATAGGCTATAGGACCGTCTATCAGCATAGGCCCATAGGGCCTGTCTGTCCTAGGGGTAGTCCTGATCTGCCACTCATAGTTAGGGTAGCTGTAGGTATTATTAGTTAGAATGGGACTATATTTTCCCGAATTTGCAGATATGTCCCTCTCGGATTTTCCCTATAGATAGGTCCCTCGGTTAGCCCTCAGCCAAACAAAATCACGAATCTAACCTACACATGGTACAGTCTCGACAAGAGAGAGGCTACAGGCAACCAGAAACCAGCAAGTCATTGCAGACCTACCCTCCCCCGGAGCGAGGACCTCCAAGCTAGGGGTGTAGGCGTCCAGAACATCGAAGGGGTTCTCCCTTCTGTGCTGCCTCATATCTGAGGACAACAGACTTAGCTGTTTTCAGAAGCTCCTTGCGAGTAAACCAGCGATCTTCAGTGTTCGATTGGTAACAAAACTTCACAAGGTATTCTTTATCTGGTCCTGTACCTGACTCATCCTCAATGGACTCCACGTCATATCCCTTGCTCGGGATCGGAGGACCAAACTGAGGAGGCCTGTCTGGAAATGCATCAGCTGATGTGAATGGTAACAACTTAGATGCATGAAAGACAGGGTAGGTTTGTAGATGCAGAGGGAC